GAACCCCCCCCCCCCCCCCCCCCCCACCCCCTCGTCCCCCCACCCGGTCGGCTAGGTGGTAGCCAGTGCGGAGGAGTTGGTCTTCGCGTTCACGATGCTTCCCCTCGTGCTCATGGTGGGGCTTGGCCTTTTCCGCGTGGACTGGGCGGCTGTGGCGACTCCCCCAGCGGCCGACGACGTTGACTGGAGGCTCTTCATCCAGATCATGTTCTGGACGAGCACGTACTGGCAGAAAGTGAGAGGAAAGGGGTGAGGAGGGGTGGTTTTGTGTCACGACGGGTCGGAAGGAGCAGGGAGTTTCGCGCTCAATCGCCGTGCCCGAAAGTAAACGTCGAACGAGAAAAAAGAGTAGGGTGCACCCGCGCGGTGCTTGAGAAGCGAGAAAGGCGTTGCACCTATTTTCTTGCTCACTTTTCCGTGCGTCTAAAAGAAAAGTGCTGCGTTTGGTCTCCCGAGCCACCGCTGTCAGTGAAGCGCATTGCAACCCGGCCGGCGAAGCGTACCTGCGAGGGAAACCCTCATCATCGTCAGACCTCGGGCAGCATCGCCTGCCTTATGCTTGGGGCATCCGCGAACCGCGCTTGAGGATGTCGAGTGATCCAAAAAGAATCGGGGCGTGCTTGCCGGAGATGTTCGCCGGTTGGTTTTTGGAGCTATCTTTCGGACGCTCTCTTCGTACGAACGCAGAGTTCTGTGCCACGGAATAGGCAGCGGCAGCACCAACCTCTCGGTGGTGCAACCTTCAGGCTTCCTGCCCTTGTCAGGATGTGTTGCTGACACCCCATCGTTCCTGAAATTACTCGATAGGGGCATCAGCTCCTACTATCCTATTTTCTGCGAGCTTGGCGTGACGCAGGACAGACTCGAAATGCTCCCGCCGAAGCCAGTCGAAAATTAATGTTTTCAGTCGTTCCAGCCATGCCTTTTGACTGCTGCTGCTGCTGCTGCTGCTGCTGCTGGTGTGTCGGTGCGCGGCGGCACAGGTGGCGTCGGTTGGCCCTGACGTGAAGGACTGCCCCAGGAACTTTCCCCGGGCCATTCTTTACGCGGCCGGCATGCAGACCCTGATCAACGGCATCATCCACATGGTGGCCGCCGGTGCCACTGACCCAGAGCTGTATCCGGAGTGGGAACCCGGATATCTCAGGTGCGTTGAGGCAAAGGTTTGGCGTTGTGCGCGAGTTGTGTTCGCTGCCGGTGTGGCGGGGTTGGAACCAGAATCCATCTTCTTTGTGTCCCGCCGCCTATTGCCTAGCTTGAGGTCCTTTCTCGCCCTTGTCGCCTCCCCTCCCCCAACACACACAATCTCACCCCCACGCCCAACACGACAGCTTTGTTTTCAGGTAAAACGCATGGCTATGTTGCAGCAACAAGAAGCCCAAATCCCGAAATTGTAGGTGCCTTACGTCGTAAGCATGGAAGGAATTTCCATCTCGGACGGGACGCGTGGTCAATATACCAAAATGAGCAAGGCCAACTCCCCCCCCCATGGTCTAACCGCTATCAAGGCACGCAAAACATGAGTGCGCCCCCCCCCAGCAAAAATAACAACACCTCTGCGAACTCCCTCTTTGTCTCTTGCCCTGGTTGCCTCCCCCGTATAACAAACAAAAACGCCAACAGGTACGCGGCCGACGCGATCGCCGGGGGGAAGTGGCTAGGAGCGTGGCTCACCATAACGGCGGCGGTGGCAAACAGCGGCTCGTTCCTGTCCGAGATGACCGTCACGAGCCAGGCCCTGGTCGGCATGTCCGAGGGGGGTTTGCTGCCCCAGAAGCTCTTGGTGGAGAGCCGGCACGGCACGCACCCGTACGCGCTGGGGGTGATCGCGGTGCTGATTGCCATCAGCCAGCCGCTGGACTTCCATGCTTTGGTTCTCGTCTGTGAGTATCGGCCTGCTGCCTACTCCTGGAAGTTGTTGCAGTGTGTTGTGTACTTTAGGTTCAAGTATCACACCCCCGGGAGCGGTTTTCAAAGCTCGATTGCTCCACGGCAAAGAGGTTAAAGTCAATTGATGCGGTTTCGGAAAGCTCTTGACGAGACGGTTCCAAGGCCTGCATGTTCGACACGAAAGATTGTTATTTGCCGCAGGAGTAATCGGGCTTTGAAATTGGTCCTTGGGGGTGTGGTATCTTACGCAACTTTCAGGAGTAGCGCGTCTTGAAACCAAGCACCAGCCTAAGGATCTGATTGACGCACTCCGAGTCGTTCCATGGACTACAGTTGTTGTATTCCTTGCACCTAGAATGACAGAGGTCCGCCCTGTGCTCTCCCCTTCCGCCCTCCGCTACAAACAAGGCAACTTCCTCTACACCCTCCAGACCGCGCTAGAGCTAGCGGCCTTCTACCGCCTCCGCACCGCCCTCCCGGGGCTGCGCCGGCCCTACCGAGTGCCGGGGGGCTCCGTGGGTGCCGCCCTGGCGGTGGGCCTACCGTTCTTGACGCTGACGGTGGTAACAATGACGACGGCGGTATCGGCGGCGGGAGTCGGGAGCTTGATTGCCCTGAGCACCGTGGTGGCCGTGCGAATTATTTTCCGGCGATCGGACCGGGGGGGGGGTGCTGTGGCAGGTGATACCACGGGGAGGGAGGAGGCGGGGGGGTCTGTGTGGGACGTCAAGGTGGGGGAGAGCAAGGTGGGGGAACGCCGGGTGGAAGATCCTCGTGAAATCGACGACGGGGGGGCCGGGGCATCCGCCGGGAATAACGATGCCCCCCCCCCCTCCCATGGCGACGGCGGAGGAATCGATGCCGTGTCCGACGAGGCCGAGGTCGGGCCAAATAGTGGGCCACCTCCTCGAACATGAGAGTGTTCGTATCTTCTTGTGCAGGCATGTTGTTTTTCAGGTCGATGTGGAGATTAACGCCGGCAAGGCATGGACAAATACGAGCATGAGAGTGTCCATCTTCTTTCTTTTTTTTGTACAGGCATATTGTTTTCACGTCTGATGTAAGAGACATCACACGCCAGCAAGCGATAGAAACATGAGATACTTGAACGTGTGAGCCGGTATTTTGACGGCGTAGGTCTGGAAACGTGTGGGTTTTTTGTTTGTGTCCTCCGTGACCTGCGATGTTTTGGGGTCTGAGAAGACCTGTTGTTGCTGGCGTTCTCGGCCCAGATATCGCTAGATAATGGTAAGGTCGGTGTTAGCTGGGTGCGCCATTTTGGGTACAACTACTGTGCCGTTCGGCACGACTCGCCCTTGCCCTGGTGGGTGCAAACGATCAATTCTGGTACAGATTTTTTACTTTCGACGTTACTGCTGCAACCCCGAGCGCATGTGATTCAGGGTGTAAAGCCCCGCTCCCGGCATCACTGGGCTGAATTTTGTAGCGAAAATCAGCTCTGTGTTGTGTGGCGGGCTGCAAGTTGTTCGAGGTGTAAGTATCGTGCCATGATGTAAGGGTTTTAGCAACCATTTGATACGAAGTGCTGCGAAATGGCTGATTTCCACTACGTGGCTGGTTGTACCTGGGGACTCTTTCGTGCAGATGATGCGTTGTGTGCACGCTGTTGCACTTTCCGGAGAGCAAGAAGCACATCGCTCCTGATATTGAAGAGAGCTACAGATGCCACCAACGGTCGATTGTGTATTGAGATGTTCTTATCTTCGTGTATTCCTTCGAGTGGTCCGCCGCATGCATGTGTTTTTCTTTTTGCGGGCGGTGAGAAGCATAAGTATCCCCATCGAGTCGCTCTGTTGGTTGGCTGGGTGTGTCGCTTGTTTCTAAAGCAGAAGCCAGTTTTCATGGTGGATGCTGTTCAAAATTTTGTAGATTTCCCCCGGTTCGCCTGCACGCAGTCGCAGCAGCAGGTTATTTAACTAAACCGATTTTGGTGTTGGTAGCAGATTTTTTTTGTTTTTTTTGTTGTAGACGTCGGGCGTTCTTGGGGTTTGCTGTATGTCAAATGTGTTGATTGAACCACTAGCCTAGCGTGATAGTGCAGTCGAATTGCAGTCTGTTAACCGTGTTTGGTACATCATTGCCGTTGTACGGCCTTTGTCAAAAGGATGCTTCCCATCATAGAGCTTCCGAAATTGGAGAGAAGTCACCTGGCCTGGCTGTACTTTTTCCTATGGTCCCCTTTCCCTGGGAGACACGCCGTTGTCGCTAAAAACTTGCAGGTGGCGTGGCGTTTCATTTGTCCCGGCGAGTAAAGCACGACAAGCCAATGTTCATCATTTCTCACAGGCCATGGACTCGAACTGGATATTACCAAGCAAATATTTTGCGGCATTCTCCGTCCCTTTATACCGTAGGGTGAGGCGACCTCCGCGCCGACGCGGAAAGTTAGACACACCAAGACTCTGCTCGAGCGATTGCTGAAAATTCATCAATGCTTTTAGCAATGAAGGCGGCGGAGGGTGTAGACCATCCAGCTCAGCTCCCACTCGTCCTACCCCCCACAAAAATCACAGGGTTTTCCAAGCGTTGCGACATCATGGAAAGCGTTTTACAGCGTGGCAGTTCCCAGGCACCCACACACCAATCCATCCGTAAAACCGAAGGGTAGGTGAAGCAGTAGCGCGCCTCCACAGGCAAATATTAGTATTGGCACCATGGCGTGCCCTCTAGTATTCCTCACCGCGTTGTCCGTTCTCTTGAACATCTAGACTGGTGGTACCCTCGGTGATGAGGTGACGAGGATATCGAGTGGTGTTCTTGCGGCATCTCTCCCAATGAAATAGCCTGGGATCCAAGCCGATACTTGCGCAGTGTGGTGTATAATTGTGTCCAAGCCACACCAAAGAGTGGTCGACTCTTCTCGTCGTCCGTGAAGAACTTGAGGGCGGCGACTCATGCTCGAACGTCTATTTACGGCTTGTTCTTGAAGGATTTCTCTCTGTCTCGAGACGAACACATGTCTCAAAAATGTTGTTCCATGAATGAAAACTTCCGCCGACGCCAAAAGCACAGAGCGGGTAACGGGAAACACACATACAAACCATTCACGTGCAGTCACCAAACCAACTCCCTAACCATGAAATGCAAAAGGGGCCTGCTGCCTCATGCAATTTTCCCTGCAGCCTCTTCATCTCCTTGGCCTGCCGCTGTTGGTGCTGATGCTGTTGCCTCATCGCCGCCGTGGTTGGTCGGAGAAGCGCCGCCGCCACCGCCGCCGGTTTGGGTCGTGACAAGAAACAGCGACAAGAGCAACAGCCCCGCGCCCGCCGCCTCTACGCCCCTAAAAGACTCCTGCGGGAAGAGACGGGTACATGAATATTCAAACGAATCAGAGGTACAGTCTTTTTACGCGAGGATACGGAGGCTCAAACAGACTCAGGATATGCCAAGTTTCCAGCCGGTTTCCCTCCACTCACTGAAAAAGACCTGGACACATCCCTTTAGCCGGTGGTTATACCATCGAAACGGTAGTATTCCTGTGTTTTGGGGTAAATTTTCTAAAAACGTCCCGGAAGTGGGCCACAGCACAGAACGAATTACATCGCCATTCCACACCCCTATAATGTTGCTGCTATCCCACACGATGAATGTGGATTTGTTTCGAACTCGGAGCTGAAGAGAGAATACCCTCGTGCCTTGTTTCCCTTGTCTACCAAATAATCGAATGCAGAGAGTGGAAAATGTAGCAGCAGCTCCAGTCATCTTCCCCGAGCTGTAATTCTTTGTCCCGCTTGTGGGGGGTACACAGAACGGCAATACTTCCTCTGTCACATAAGTAAAGTCCGTTATGATTACACGGCCATTTAGCCGTGTTCGATGTCTTCCGCGATACTTTTTTTTGAAATCTTGAGCGTTTTTCGGGTTGAAACCCATATTTATTTATTTTTCTTGCGCACTACCCTGCATGCACTAGCGGCTTATAAAAAAGTAGTCAGGCCAAAGAAGGCCGTATTTTGCCCCTTTCCATGAGGGTGGGGGTGGGGGCACGAAACGAAACATACCAAAAAAAGACAAGAATTATCCCGAACCCTAAACCCAAGGTTACCTCTACTGAACGATCCATTTCGCGTCCTCCCACACAAAAACCAACATAGTAGTGAAACCACACTAAAATCAAGACATTTTCGAGGCCCACACTAAAACCAAGACACTTGGGGGCCTAGAAAGCCCTTGGGTACCCTTTCTTTGCCCGGCGGAATCGCCAACGCTATCTCCACCGCCATGGCGTACCGACGACCCAACGATACTTCCGCACCCCGCTTACGACGTGGGGGTGTCTGGGCGTCGTCCCCCATGATAGCTACGTCGTTGTGGTGGTAGTGGGTGCTCACACAGCACAAAGCTGCAAATATCCTTTAAAATATTCTCAAAATGTTTTCAAAATGTTCCCAAAATATTCGCAAAATAGTCCCGTATTTGACACACTAATTCTCAGTAATTGCGAGTCGGATTCTTATTTTTTTTTAAGTTATGTGCGTAACAAGCGCTTTCCAACAAACCTAACTAGAGCTTCAGGAACACCTTGGCTGGTGAGGTATGTAAATTCCCCCATAACGGACTTTACTTATGTGACAGAGGAAGTATGACGTTGTCACCTGCACAACAAAAAACAAATCGAGATAAAAAAATGTTGTGTGCAAACATGTATGTATCGCCGTCAAATGACATTCGTCCCGCACCTTGAGGAGCATTGCCGCAAACAAGACGGACCAGAGCGGCTGCAGCGAGTAGACCAAATTCGCCTGCCGTGAGGTTGACAACGACCAACACAACCAACCCGGAGGGAGAAATCTCAATCACGGGCAGCAGTATCAGACGTTCAGTCCATTAGAGTGTCTCAAAGAGGCAGGCGTGGGTTGGGAAGTGCTGAGCGACATCCGCCTCTCTCCACTCCTCTTGGATGGAAGAGGTTCAAGCGTCGCTGTCTAACATGGGGGGGCCATCGGTCCATTCGAGGTACATTACCGGGTTCTGCGCGTTTTCCAGCTGTGGGCGTCTACAGCTATTGTTGTATATGCCAGTGGATTGAGATGTTCTCAAGACTGTCTCGTGAAAAACAGCAAAAGCTCCTCTGTCAGTTCACGTCACACACGTAAGTTCTTCGGCTCACAAAGCCAACTTCATCGCTGTTCCCGAGCTACCGATCGCTCCACGGTTGTCTGAAAATCTGTGGGGGCGCTGCATTTACCCTCGTTCCATTCGTTATCCAATAAGTGGTCGCCCTACCCCACACCCTGCGTCACACCTGCATGTGAAAAACACGCGGAACGAGAGCAAGAGGATACACTACTTGGAAAGATCAAAGAGTGGCAGAAAGTGGCGGAACCAGCGTCTGATGAGAGACTGTGTGGGCGGACACCCCCCTTCGAGAGCAGAAAACGGTGTCTGTAGCTCTGGCGGCCCCGAAGAAGTAGATGCCAAGCGGCCTGGAAACCAGTCCACCCTGCTCGAGAAACAACAACAACCCCCACCTCACTAGGGGCCACCGACGCCTGCCCCCGGGTTTGCGCCCACATGGCGTACGCAGTTGTTAGGGCCCCGTTCCAGATCACCACCGCGGAGAATACCAGCAGCAGGTCAGGCTTCGAGGCCAGGGCACCAAGAAACCTTATAAAAAAAATCGGACAAACGTTATTGGTTGTAGATGATGCGGGGAAGAACCACGGGTGGAGAAGGAGATCGGGACTTTGCGGTAGAGCTGGAGACAGGAAGAGTTAATGTCCATGTCGGTAGACTGGCTTCAAATTCGATTGGATGGGAACACAAGTACGTAGCAAGTGCCGGTTCTACGTGTTCGCAAAATGGACGGGCGCGTAGCAGTAGATACACACCACAGCACGATCACCCAGGCGATCGCACCACTATGTAGCGGGGAATTGATCTAGCCTTGACACCAGCATTCAGCCTTTTCGCGGATGGTGGCTCTGCGGATGTTGTTTAGAAAAGGCGACCATGGTCATGGTCAATCTGCACAATATCCCAAGGCGATCAAGCCGGAGTCGCCTGCGACGTCTGGAGTCAGGGGACCATTCTCTCTGATTTTGTTATGATACTATCGCATCTAAGATGAATTATTTAGCAGTGTCCACCCTCTCTGGGTAGATAGCCTGTGACCATGGAAGGCGTCCGCGTCAATTGGACCCGTACGGATGGTAGAAGGCACTGAGCAGGTATCAGAACGGTTCTCAACGTGTGACGGTAACAACACAAATAACAAAGCACGTTTACATACGAGACCGCATGAGGTCTCCAGCTTGGCGTCTTGAGAGGGATGCGTGCCCAACCACCGAATTCCTGCGGTTACCAACGACAAAGAGCATACACCTACCCCCCGGCGTTCTTGCTCCCCACCCACCTCGCAAAGTTGTCCGCTTGCCCCCCCAAGAACCCCGCCACCACCAGCGACAGCGCGGAGAGCGCAAGCTCCGAGAGCGCCTTCGCCCTTGCGAGAGACAGCGTGTCCAGCTTAGACACGTGTACCCCTGCTTGGAGAAAAGCATAGAGATGGGCATTGGATTCCTGAGGAATACAACAATTCCAATCCGAGGTTGGCTCGAACAGATGCAACCATGATCGGAGGCTTGGACTGCTGCGGTTGCGCAGGATAGACTCTTTGATATTTAGCAATGTTCGATTCCACCAAGCGACGTTTTGAGCTTCAACGTGGACGAAAGCTTTAGTTCAAAACCAGACACGTTTTTCGTGTAGGGTGTAGTACTGATGAGCAGCCTGTGATTCATGAGTGTACCCATCATCGAGAAAGCACCCACAACCCCAGCCGGCCGCACAGCGTATAGGAAGCACAGAACAGAGCACACGGACCGCACTGCCTCTCGCCTTACCCAACGACACAGGACGAACAAGTTGGGATGACCAAAATAGGACGCCACACCACAGAAAAGCAATCGAATTCACTGCACAGTGGTCACGCCTGCCCCCAAAGTATTACAATTTGTGACGCAGAACGGCCCATGACCAGTAAGTAAATCAATAAGAAAGAAGGATATACCGTAAGGTCAAAAGGATCCCCTAGCTCGCACCTAATCGCACGACATGGAGGGAGTAAAATAGGGCAGAACAGGCCACTAGCAAGTCTCCCCGAAGGTTTCCGCTCGTGACGCTTTCCCACAGCCCCGACGGGGCCAGCCGAGTGGCTGAAAGCGAACCTGGATGGGCGGCCGTAGGACACAGAGGTGGGAGGCACGGATGGCCGAGATCACAGATGATTGATCTCTTACAGTACCATGTAGGAAACACAGAAACCGCGGCATTACGAGTGTCGGACCATTGGCGGGGACGGAGGGCGTGCTGGTTGTGGTCGGAAGAGTGCCCGTAAACGGCGAGACAACGGAAGGTACATAAAAAGTTTAAATTGGGCGGTGCAACCTATGTTGTGCGGCGCAAGTATCCGAGGAAGATGATTCAAGAAATAACAAGTAGGCGAAAGAGCATGGTTTGATGGAAAGGGAGATGCTTATAGGACAACACATACACGCGACGTGAACTTCACGCTCTCGAGAGGCGCAACGCTTTGGTGGCAAGAGGAAACCAGGGGAGCTGTCTCCACGCTGGAGGTACTAAGTCTACGGGTAGGTGCTTGCGTAGAGTTTACCCACAGCAAGTAGGCCTGTTGTTATTTCAAATACTACATGACATACTTGCATACATGCAGCTTTGGTGGGTTAATCTGCTTCACACATACGAAACGAAGTCGTTTAACCTTCTAAAACGTTGCATTTCTCACGAGACAAGCTGCGACGCTTCTATGGAATGGTCTGAAATTCAGAGAACTCTCGGTATTCACTGTGCTCGGGATAAACTATCTTACTAGCCTGGGCTCACCGGAAATGTACTTGAAAAGATCAGCTCCCGGAGGAAGGATGCCTCCAAGACTCACTAGCGCAACTCCCACCGTGGCAAGCGCGCACGCCAACCACACCTGCCACCGCCAGATAAGTTTCAATCAAGATGTGTACAGTCAATCGTTGCTATCAACGTATATTTTTATTGGGCTGTGCTCAGCTACGGTACATGTTCTTCGGTGGCGCCGTTGATCTTGACTTCTTTTAGGCAAGCAGGCAAGAAGAACGCACACATGGACGCACACATCGAAATGACCTCTCACCACACTACTCATAGACTACACAAGCAAACATTTCCGTGCTAACGTTAAGCTAGATACCATCGATACCGCGCGATCCTTGGCCTGGCGAACCCTAAGTGCATCATTAGGTCGACGTCACGTACGCGAGAGGTTTCGACTTGGGCCTTTCCTGCGAGACTTGTGGGGTACCATGAATGCCCGCTGAACTGCAAAATTGTTCGTGTCCAGACACTCCTGTTAAGGTTGTTGTTGTGGAAACCTTGCTTGCGATTCGGGCATTGAGCACGAATCGACGATCAAACCGCACCCAATCAAACAAAACGAAACCTATCGCCGCAACCACTCCTGCTGTTCCGATACAACATAGAGAAATGCCAAAAGCACGCGAGTGGTGTAACGTACTCCTGCAATCAGCGCGAGTCCTCCCTGCTTCGGGCGGGCGTGCGTTCACCTGTGGCTTGAGCTTTCGCCGCCCCACAAACGCTTCCAAAACCGGCACGATGACCGTCGTAAGCTGCACCAGGAATCCTGCCCTGCTTGCCGAGGTCAACTCCAATCCCCACACCTGGCGGTGTGAGCGCATTCAGCACAGAGCCAACAACCCACAAGAGGATAAAAAAAACACACGGTTATGATGTGTAGCCGACACTCCAGGGAGCGCGGTACTTGATCGTAGGGATTTCCCATTTCCAGAGCAAGCTCGCCGAAAACGGTGATGAAACGCCGCGCAATAAGCCACGCCTTTCAACAGGAGAGAAGGTACCTCAGGGGCGTGTGTTGAATGCCACGTTCCTAGCTTGAGCGCGGCAACGTCTGAGAGATGTGTGTTGCACGACCGCGCTAGTCGTCTGAGGTGTTGCGTGCAGCCCCTTTCCTCAGACTATATCCTTGTAGCATAGTCTGAGCCGAGCTAGCCTAAGATCGTATCGTATCGCTATCTAGACAAGGCTCTCCTATCCTGCCCTCGACTCTTGCCTGCACGGTACCAGCAAGAAAAAGCCACAGTCCTAGTTCAGCTCCCGCTCTTGCGGCGTAGCGGTTTCGTAGTGCTTTCTCTTTTGGCGGAAGTTCTGCCTCTTCCTCGACTCCGCGCCGCTTCCCCCCTTTCGTGACAGGAGCAGCAGCTTCAGATAGTTAGTACCATACGAGGAAGGGGGATGACAGTGGTGCGACAGGGTAGGTCACCGGGACAGTAAAACGGGCGACATAGTTTTGAGGGCGTTGTTCAAAACGGTAAGAGCGGGTTGGCACAAGTGTAAGAATGTGTTCGTCCGTCAAGTCTTGGGCGCACATCACCCACAAATGGCAATGTACGTCGAAACAGCAGTTTGTCCTACAGGTACGTGCAGTTGTTGAGACTGAAGACACTTGAGGAATATCTATGGTTTCTAAACAGAATTACAGAGTAGATACATCCGTCGAACGTATCCCAACAAGCAAAGCAACGTTGGTACCCGTCACACATGCGAAGAACGACATACATCTACCACTGCACGGGGTGCAACGGTCAACAACGGCAGCATCGGAGAGGGAAGCTGGTGCCCACAGATAGATCCTGCTGTGCAGCGTGCGTTATCTTTTGTATCATTTTGTAGGACAAGTGCAGATATTATCTGAGGTTGTGACCACTCGCCTGCTGTTGCTGTTCGATGTCTTCTGGCGGTGTTGAGACTGGCGACAGCCGCGAACGTCAACACGGACACCACGTAGCACGCAAAGTTGAACAGCAGCCCCGGAGGCGATTCTCCCATCTGGTATAGGTACTTCACGCTAGGAGCGTAAGTACCCCACACCAACGGCACGGTGGCGAGCACGAGGAGGCCGCTCCGCTCCGAGCGGATGATCTTCCCTTTGCTAGCCGGTAGCGTCGCAACGTCCTTCCCAGCACCATTCGCATCGATGTCTGGCTTGAGGCTGGTATCGCAGGACACCACTGTCTCTGGTACACCAGTTTCTGCCGTGCTAAGGCGGACGGAGGGGCCGGCGCGCCGCCTGGTCCAAAGCCTGTCGGCTTGCCCGGCCTGCTGTTTCTTCATGTGGTGACTGCTGCTGCTTCGGAGCGGCTGATGTGCGAAGCCAAACTGCAAGGAGACGCTGCATCTAGAGGCTAACAATACGGCCATCGCCAGAGCACGCCATAAATACATGCAGCACGCACGCAAGCACACCGCCACGCCCTGCTTGCTTGTTGTCGGTTTGTCCCTCTGCTGCTGCCTGATCTCTGACATCGGCCGCCGCGGGGTTTCATCGCATGGAGCGTTACGGTTGTCTTGACAGTCTCGCGGTTCCCTGTCGAAAACGTGAGTTGCAATGTTTTGGTTGTGAAACAGCTAGCAGTCTCTCAGCGCTGACCTCGCGTGCGACTACCGCCACCCTGCTCTGAAGATGAAGCGCGTCTTTGGTGCCGTGTCTGGCGCTTTCAGATCCCTCGTTCCCAAGGCAACCGCGCCGGCCGCACATCATCAGGAATCGGTTCGGAAGGCGATGGAGTCTCTCGCGCCCCCGGGCAGGAGGTTGCCGTCCGAGAGCAAACCGCTGGTGATGGAGCTCGTGGCAGCTGCTTCAGAGGGGGACAAGGAGAAGGAACTCTCGCTGCTGAAGACCCCAGAGGACATGTTCCTTGCTGCTAACGCTTTCCATCAGGTGCGTCTACCAGCTAATTCGTGTGTGTCCGTTTTGAGTCAGTCATGCGCATGGACCGGTTGAGTCGGCTACTGCTGCTGCTGCACACTTTTGCTGTTGTGCACACAACTGCCGTCGTGTACCATTCCCCGACTCTCGTTGGAGAAGCCGGTAGCTGATCCACCAGGGGCTTGTGTGGTGACACTTAACACCATATCCGTCTACCCTCTTGTCTTGGCACTCACCCTGTCGACCTCGGGTTTCTGGACGAACTACTGTAGGGCAAACACATACGGGCGGACAAGGAGACCGCCTTTGCGCTCTGGAAGAAAGCAGCAGAAGCCGGCCACCCCAAAGCCATGTGAGTTAATCACCGCTGCTGCCTCTCTCGGCGTCCAGCTTGTGCCAGCGGGAGGGAATCCTCACGACTTGCCAAAGAAAAGCTGTAGCTGGGTCAGTTTGGTTGCATGCTGGTCCTTCGTGGTGCTGGGCTTTGCTGTGTGCAAGGGTTCGGGTAGCCGCCGCCCATCAGCGTGAATCTTCTTCGTCGTCAGTGTTCCGGACTCCGGGTTCAAGCTAATGCTTGTCCCATCGTCACAGCTAATTAGGCGCTCGCTTGACAACAACCCGATCAAAACTTGGACTTGGGGGTGTTTTCTTGCGTATTTGCGTCGATATCGTAACTCGGAAGGTACTCGTACGCCGGCTGCTTGAGGAATGGGGACGGCACCAAGAAAGACCTCCCCACAGCGGTGTCGCTGTTCGAGCGATTGGGGGACCAGGGCTTGCTTGAAGCCAAGGTGCGTCGCGGGTGTGTCTGTTGAGCCATCGGGGCCTGCAAACGAAGACGAGATGAGCAACTGTAGGAACTGGATGGTGCTTGCTCGATAGTTGCTCCCGAGATGGAGGTTGGACGGACCGGCACCGGTTGCTGCTGTTTTGCGTCGCGTTGGGTCCATGACCTCACATGTGCATTACCCCACTCCCCGGCCCGTGCCAGCACGCGCTAGGGTTAGTGTTGTCTTCGGGCGAGGGGGAGGATGTGGGAATCCCCCAGGACGAGGAGCGTGCGCTCGGGCTCTTCAAGGCCGCTGCGACTGGTGAGGGGTGACCTTGACGTTAGCGCGCGCGCGTTGATGACGGTGTCCATGTGAAACCAGTAACAACTCTCCAGCTTCAGAGACCGCGTCTTGCATCGAACGCGGCTAAGAAGAACCGAGAGCAAATTGGGTTGATGACGTCACGTTGAGCGAACCGTTTAGCAACATGGCGCTTTCCCTCCAACCGAAACGCATTGTCCCGCCATCGTTTCCCTTGTTCTACTACCGCAGCACCCACATCATTTGGTGTATGTACTGCCATCTGTTGCTTGCCCTTTCGTTGACCTCCCGTTTCCCTTTTGTTGTAACCCTTTAACCGCGATATGACCTACTTTTTCGGTACCTCAATACCTTGTACTTTTTGCTTTTTGTGCTCGTGCCTCTTTGATCGGGATGCAACAATCACGCGCTTCCAAGGCGGCTTCGTTCCCGCGATACACGCCGCGGCATCCATGATGGAGGCTGGCAAGGGGGGAGAGAAGGAGGACGCCAAAGCCGTCCAGTGAGTGAATGTTGGTATATTCTACCCAACCATAACGCCCACACCACATTGACACATGCAGCAGCTAGCTCAACTCATCTGATGCCACAATTGGCGCTCTGTTTTGTGTGCTCCCTGCCGGCGCAGGTGGTTGGAGGTGGCCATGGAGGCTGGGGATCCCATGGCGTACTCTACCCTCGCAACGTGGTATACAGCTGGCAGGTGATGAAAATGGCGACACCAGAGTGTACGACCTTTCTGTTTGTTTATGTCAACCAATTTGCAATACGGTGGCGACAGTTGATCGAAAGAGAGCCTGCGGTTGGCGTGAGAATCTTCACCGCAACCGTTACGCGAAAACGGTGCCTGGTTATGGGCGGTGTACCAAGTAGCCTGATTTTCACTGTGGTGGTAGATGCTGTAGCACTCTTGAACTGTCGCCGCGAAAGCTCTTCACATTTTCACGTACCCCGTGCTTTCAAGTCAGAAGCTAAAGGATGCATGAGCAACATGACACCGTCACTAATATCAAACGTAGGGTAGAGCTGCCCCTGCAAATGCTTGTAGTCGAATTTTACTAGACACTTTGAACCTGTGAACAGAAATATCAAGCACGACCACTGTCTTGCGCGTCGTACAGCACAACAGGAAGCTCGGCTGACCAATGAATGTCATTCCACTTTCACCAGTCTATTTTTTTCTATCCTTACCCATGACCGTGTTGCAGTCTTTTTATGCTGTTTCTATAGGCACCATTCCTCCTACCCCCCCCCGGGGCCGCCGCCGTATCACTGCCTCCTGTGTTTTACTGCGGTGCAATTGCGATCTGACTTTGGACACCCAACCAAATCACTCAGGGCGGGCCTAGAAGTGGATCACAAGAAGGCTTTCGAGCTTCACCTTAAGGCGGCCAACATGAACATGCCCCGAGCGCAGTACAACACGGCCGTTCACTACCTTGAAGGCACCGGAATCGAGCAGGTGGGAAGCTGTTTTCGTCTGTCGAGCTGATTGTGACCCGGTTAGACCTGCAGTCACGCAGATTGGGCGTACGCAACACGAAACCGCTGGTTTACCCATGGTTAGAAATCGTCGTTGGTGAGCCTAACGAGAATCCTCCCACCATCCAGGTGCGAGTTGTTGCTCTCGGCGATAACTTGCACAGACAAATGCGATGTGTCACACCAAACTGCACAGCTGTGCTGCTCGTTTCGGAACAGAGGTGTGGTAAACTAGTACAGTCGACCCCGCTGTAAGGAAACACATGGTTTTGCTTCGAAAAATATTTCCTTAACGCGGGGAAGTTTCCTTAAACTTCAGAGGATCAGAATGCACCATCCCTGGGGTCAATGGTGGCGGTACATACGTCAAAAGGTGCGCCCTGGGCAGGGCATTGTTGGAATAAAAAATAGGCTGGGAGTCGGCGAGAAAATAATTGTTTATTGCTCAACACCACCACACAGCACGGAAAATACCTGATGGACACTTCAAATTCACCTGGTGACTCTTGTTTACCCCTGGGGGAGCGCATGCAGAAACTCTCCTGCGTTACTCTATACTGGAGCGCCATTCAGACACAAGCACACAATACGGCGTATGGCCGACAAACCGTAAACACTCAACGCTACGACTTCTGACATTCCGTGCACTCCCTCTGCTGTCCGTAGCCTTCCTTCCCGATGCCGCGACCACAAAACGCGTGCATCCATCGACCGCACGGGCATGTGTGGATACCCGACACGAGCTTCGTGATCGTGCACGTGGGTTCCCGACACCGTTTTAACCCAGGTGCAGAGGACGCACCGGTAGGTGAAACGAATCTTTGCATACCGCAGACAGCAGGTGAAGCAGCAGGCCTCTCTGCTGGCGAAGAGGGTACGCTGAAAACGTGCTCTAAGGGGGGTCCGCGGACTAGAATATGGACCCCCCCGTATATTGTACATTCTGTGGGGTTTTGTGTTTCGGCGAAAAATTGTTTCCTTCACCCGGGGAGTTTCCTTAATTTTGGTTTCCTTAAAGCGGGGTCGACTGTACTTCTATACCCTACCTCTAACCCAGCTATATCCCAGCTATGGCATACCGGCATTCGATAACTGGAGCTAGACATTTCAATATTCCAGGGAACAGATATGCATATTTGCGGTCAGGGCGAAGGAGAGACTGGCCGATTGGGCGCAACACGACCCATCTGCCTCTCTTATGAATATATTCGCTGCCCGGTTTCCTCATCATGACCTTCAACGAGAACACAACATGTCTGAAACGTCACGACCAAACGTGATTTTGCAGAACACAAAATCGTCTCTAATCTTTTTTCCAGTTTTATTTATATGTCGATTTGTCCACGTGCTTATCGTCAGAACCTCCCGGAAGCGGCGGCATGGTTCGAACGAGCGGGGGCCTTGGGGATGCCGCAGGCGATGCTCAACCTAGGGAAAATGTTGGAGAACGTAAGTGGGTTGAGAATGCAAGCAGCTGATGATATTGTCGCTGGATCGATTCCGTCATTCCGTTTTGTTTTACCTGGGGTCTTTGCTACTCCACGAGTTTACCAAGACTACTCTCCACACAAGTCCTTTGTACTTCGCCTTGTTTGAACTCCGAATCAAAGTCAGCGATGTCTCTGTGTGCAACGCTGAGAGCAGACGAATTCGAGATAATTCCTGCCAAAGCAAGCATGCGATGGACCACAACGAAAACCCGCAATCGCAATGTTCTTCCACTCATGTGGAATGCACACAACGTTCAGGGTATCGGTGTCGAGGTGGATCGAGAGCGAGCTTTAAAGTTGTACCAGGCGGCCTTGCGCGCCGAGGGGCAGCTGAAGGGAGGCTTGGCGACGGCCGGGGATGCAACTATGGCTGCGCTGTTCGAGGCAAAGCAAGAGGGGCTTTTGTCGGACACGAAAAAAGGGAATGTCGCACGAGGAAGCCAAACAGACGAACACGGTGAAGATCAAGGCGTGAAACAGATAGGCGAATCCTCCTCTTCTTCCTCCGAAAAGGCTTCTGCATGACACGCATGCATGCATGAACGTCTCGAGTTGCTGCCTAGCGTACGGAGGCCATGCGCGAGACCCGTTCGTTTGCGAAGCGTTGCCCGTCAACAGGACACCTATCGTGTTGCGGCGCAGGGATGGTAGTGAAATCCTTCTATATTCCGCGGGTGCGTAGGTTACCTTACATTATTTACGTGATAGACCGGCGGTGTGGCGACTTGTCGCGACCGTATCGATCGACAAGTCTATTCGCAATCGGAGGTACGTACTGTAGTACGGGACATTCATGACTTGCTGCCTTGTTGTTGGGGAGATGATGCACAGCTTGACAAAATGGCAAGCACGGACCTGGTAACAGCGCTTCAGAAACGGCAGGCCTAGTATGCTCTCTGTTCATGCTGTACAACCTTCCCGGTTAGGGTACAGTAGTAGTTCCGCTTAGTGGAGGATGCCGGTGGCGTCTACCGACCCGTATTAGGGCACAGCATAGGTGTAAGCAGCACGGAAGAAGCAGACGTGCGTTGCACGTGCGTGGTAGAGGAAACAAAGCACCAGCTGTGTTGGGGACACTGCGAGGTACCGCTCACTGCTACTGCTGAAGACGCAGATCTACTGTAGATCTTTTGCCTCGAGTGATCGCTGCGGAACTGATCGCTCGTTCGTGCCCTCCCTGCACGTGGAGTCTGTCCTCGATAAAAAAGAGCTCGGAGATTTCGAGGGCTCGCGCAAGACGCGTCGAGGCCCGGGCAGGAATAGTTTGCGTGGATTCCTGCCGCGCCCAGGGATAGGCGGTATCCCGCGCCATACTCGATTGCGACCTCGTGAAGTACACGCACGCACCTGTTTCACAGCCGAAACGAGGCAAGCGGGTATGATTTTTTGTACTTGATTGAATAGACACCGCGCGTCGAACGTGTGTACATCGTAAAGCGGAGAGATGGAAAGAACGTATGGCATTTGACGGTCCAAGAAGCAGAGCCACATGGCATGAGGCTCACTCCAGCTACGGCACAAAGTGCATGACAGAATATGTATGATATTGTAATATGACATGAATCCTAGAGGAGGCGGAGGGGCTCCGCGAGATTATTCACCACCTGAGCTCCGCAGAATCGATCCAGTATCCGCACAAACGATCATGTCACCGCACCTGCCCACCACCTCTACAGCTCCTCTCTAATACTCCGAGTACATCCCAGCTCTGGGATCAAGCTGCCTGCTGCCATGTCGATGAGTGGCTGCCCTATGGCTCGTGTCCCAGAAATCGCTGGCGTCGTGCTTGCCGTCATATGTCTTGCGAAGGTATGCAAAGCCTTCACCGCTTCATCACGCGGCGTCCTCTCCTCGAGCAGCACGAACAACCACGGTGTTCCTCGGGAGCTGTGAGTGTGAACTATCTATGATAAGGCTATCTGTGTGCGTCAGTAGGGAAGCAGAAGCAACAAGAACTACCTACAGGGCGCACCCGAACCGCGTTTGCGTTTCAAGTTGATCACGCTGTGTCCGTCGTCGTACAGGCAACCAACCACGTCACACAGCAACAGAGTTTGAAAACCACACCGGTGTGATGACTACTGCTGTACACTGCTTGGTGCTACTGCCGCCGCCGCTGCTGTTGCTGTTGCTACTGCTGTTGGTGCTGTACTTGTTGCTGTCGTGTTGTTGTCTTGTGTGATAATGCAGAACATGGTTGTCGTATGTCGCATACATACGACTGGTTCCATACCAGGTGTTTTCCGATTTCACAAGCGAAATGCGGTGAAATGCTGACTTTGCAAGCTTTGTAAACATGCACATGCTGCGGCAGCATCGAACATTCAGATACGGAGCGAAAGCGCTGGGAAATAAAGGTTTATGCATACAAAAAAGAGGCAAATCCAATCGAACGAGAGCAGATCTCGAACAGTGGTCGCGCTTTCACACATGTTGCTTCTCTCTTATGCATATGAAACAATAGCGATTTTCTGTGTTCGTGCCGTATCTGCTGCAGCATACTTTTTGGGCAGTTTTCGCACCCCTAGACACTGCCTTAGGCATGTGGAGGCCTGGCGGGCATTTATTTCCCCGACGGGCCGAGGATTTCACCAGCAGGAACGATCGCCGTAGACCTGTATTTCTGTTTTTTTGGAGCTGCACGCTATCTGGCCAAATACGAGACCAATTCGAAGATCTGATGCGGTTCTCGGGTCACCCAGTTCCTCCACGGGTTAAGCCCGATGAACATACGCGGGAGACAACCACCTCAAAAACGACTTCCCGTGCGTGTCCCGCTCTGGGTGGCGCTATTGTGTGCCTGAGCTCGATATTTTATTTCGTGCTGAAACTATATAGGTCCAAGTGCGAGAGCGCCCTCCTAGAGCGGCTGGAGCTAGCCACGGAGGTCGCTCTGCAAGCCGGTGCCGCCATGAAGCTGGTCATCAACACAAAGAAGGAAGGCATTGTCCACAAGGGGGCCACAGACCTGTGAGACTGTGGGCACTACAGTAGCAATCGCAGGCACTTACTAATTCCATCGAGAGAGATCGATAGTTGCGCGTGCAAAGACTAGCACCTTGGGCGGCAAATGATTCACTGCCAACGTGTTTAGCGCGGGCGAAATAGATATTGGTGCGACATTCCCCCGACTTGTCGTCTGAGCAATGTTCTTGGCCGGTCTTATCTTTGGGACAGGCACCCCTCTGCTTTGTTCTGAAAGACAGGGCATCGATAGCCCCGGTCGCGACCCGTCGTGTTCACGCCCTGCGACAGGGGTCAGTTGCCAGATGACTTCGGAATTACCGGTTGCGGGTGACCTTCTTTGTTTCGTGAAAGCGGCAATAACAACAACAACGCTTGAACAAAACATCAGAGTGACGGCAACGGACAAGGCGAACGAGAAGCTAATCTTCGATGCGGTGAGAAAGAGCTTCCCAGGGGACGTGCTCATTGGAGAGGAATCTAGCGCGGACGCTGGCTCCATCGCCGCGCTTACTGACGAGCCAACCTGGATCGTCGACCCCGTGGATGGCACTACCAACTTCGTGCACGGGTTTCCTATGACCTGCGTCAGCATCGGCTTTGGGCGGGGAAGCAAGGTCAGTCGGTTCAACGCGTGTTGTAGTGGCGGAGGAGGATCAGAGCGGCTGACAACGCCGGGGCTGGCGCGTGTGACAAACCTGCTCGCGTTGTATCAGTTTCTTGAGGGTCTGTCTCATTTCCCTTTTTCCCTTTTTCGTATTTCTTTTGGTGCTGCCATTAGATCCGCCGTTCCGCCCATCGTTCGTTTTGCCTTGTGCACTTTTCTCGCGAAACGTTTCGTCTTCTTTGTGTGTCTATCGTTGCTGCAAGCAGTGCCCCAGTTTTTCACCTTTCGGCATGTAGTGTACGATCTGTTTTGTTGCTTTTCGTTTCTTGCGACGTTCAGCGGGTAGACATGTTGCAGCACGGTGTGCGCAGACGACTGGTATGAGTTATCCATAGGGTTATCAATGCCGTACAAGGGTAACCTTCCCCTGCCCATGATTCCATTGTCCTTCAAGTGGTCCCATTTTTGTACGATTGTGTTGTCCCCGTCGTCAGATGGAGGTTGGCGTGGTATATGATCCTTGCGCGGACGAGTTGTACCAGGCTGTTCGAGGCTTCGGGGCCTTCGTGAATGGGCGGAAGGCGTCCTCCTCGGACTGCACCGAGTTGGGGAACGCCGTTGTGGTGAGGGGAGAGAAGGGGGCACTCGATTTTGTACAAAACACACACACACAAGAAATCACAAGCAGAAAGACAACCCGTCCGACCCTATTTTAGGTTGCGTGTTAAAGTCTCGGCAGTGAAGGTTGAGAGACACCCGTTTTGCCACTTTGAACTCAGTTGAGTCTGATTAGGTTTTGGGCACTTTCGTTTTTGGCTCGAAGGAGCAGACCGGGATAGCTGGTTGTTTAATGGTTGCCCTACCTGACACAAGTCTCGACCGTATTTGTATGTTTAGCCGTTATCGTTGCCTCTAGAAGGGATTGTAGCCGGAGTTTTTGGTTTAGGCAAGGACGAAAGGAGAACCAGACCCCGCGCTACTATTAATGATTCATCAGACAGTAGCAGCAAATGCGTGACCCACCCCCTCTCCCCATCCTCAGATAACGGAGTACGGGTACCAGAGGGACCCCGTGGCGGTTCGGAAGATGATGGAGGTTACGGAGAAGGTTCTCAGAAAATGCCGGGGCCTTCGGCAGGTGCAGTCAGAGTATTCCTGCGTGCTCTGTCTAGGTAGCACATCTTGTTGAACTGCTGTTTCACGTTGGTGGGAACGTACCGTCACGGCATGCTCGGGTCGCATCCATCTCCGTCCCTCACTCCCCGTATTCCCACCGCCTATTTTTGACCGTGGAAAGGCAGCATGTTTTCGTGAGCAAACCCAGTCGCGATATAGGTGTCTCCAGCCCGTTTTCCAAGCGGTTCCAGCAATTGCGTCTCGTCAAAATCTACACCCGTGTAACCCAGGCGGTTTTTGGGCCTCCTCCTGATTGGTCCATGCTCGCTTTGGGCCTGCTTTTTACAGGTTGGCAGCGGGTGCCTCGACCTTTGTTGGGTGGGCTGCGGCAGGGTAGATGCGTTGTACTCGGGGGTGGCTGGAGAGGGTTGGCAGCCGTGGGACTATGCCGCAGGTTGGCTTTTCATCGAAGAGGCGGGGGGGGTCGTCAAGCAAGTGAGACGGAGACGCTATGCATAGTAGTTGTGGCCCAAACAGGATTGTATCCGATTCGGTTGCACGTTATGTAGGACCTCACGTGGTTTAGACTTATGAATGGTCGCGTAAGTTGCAAGGTGCTGTTACACGAATGGCACAACGAAGCTCACTTCGTGCCCTATGGGCAACGACGAAGCCCCAGCGGCATGTATGCACAGTCACATCGTTGTTTGTGGGGGTTCCAGTGCTTGTGGTCGCTGCGAACTTGCGTGGTGCCCTTCTCGTTAAAAAATCAGAGTTTGGAGTAGCACTCAACGGGTTTCGTGGCTATTAGCCTATCCTCATGCCCTCTATATGTTGTTCTCGCCCCCGTTCGTCGTGTTGTCTTTTTACAACAGGTGGACGGAAGCCCCTTCCACGTGTTTAGCAAGTCTGTACTGTCCGCCGCGAGCCGAGAACTCGCGGACGAGCTCGTGTCGACCATACGGTGACATTTTCATTGACTAGAATGTTTTCGGGTGTTGATCTAGCTTGGCAGGAATCTGTTAAGGTTGTTTTCGAAGAGGTGAGCGCTCCCTGACAAAGCACGGCCATCTAGGTGTCAGCATTTCCTAAGTCGTGTGTTGGAGATTTTTCGTGGGGTTCGTCGAAAGGTATCGATTCCATCCGCATTTTCTGTCTGCTCCAAAGCGGTGTCCATTGCCCGCTCTTGAGGCTCGAACCGCTATCTGTCTCTCTCTGTTCTGTTCGTTAACCAATCTGCTCCGCCTCTCGGTCTTGTTAGCTACATAAATACTCTGTCGAACACCGTCCAGATCAAAGTCTGGTGTAATCAAGAGATGAGGGCGCCTATTGGAGCCGGACTGGATCAGAAAAAAGATGGTTGATCTTCAACCACAACCAACGTTGATACGTCGCAAGGGTGTTCGTTGTTTTTTAGTGTTCGTCGTGATCATCCTGTCCTCCTGCGGTCAGTTCTGGGCTCGACTGTTGTTGAGAGCCCGCTAGGCGTTGTGCAAGGTTTTCACCAGGCTGCTCATGTACTTGGCGCGCGCAAGAGAAACGACTGCTTCCTCTGTTGACACCATGGAGGGTAAGACCGGGAAATATTTCCTCGTGAGTCTGCCTTTGACAACAGGGACAAACATCTGTGGTTCGTGTCAATTACACCCGCTGCTGCTGTTGTATGGAAACACGAAAAAAAATCATGTGCCAAGGCGACTGGTTGTGCCTCGAACATGAGCGAGCTTCGCCCCTGTACTAAAAGCACCAACGTTTCAGCGTGCACATCCTGGAAACGGCATCTTTCCCTCGCCAACAAATGTACTGCTCGTGCTAGTTCATGCCGCCCCTGTGGATGTGATATTGGTTGCTACATGTAGGGGTGGCATGGGACAACTAGCGATCTGCAGTTAGCCCAATCCTTGAATATACACAAAAAACTACGGCGAGAAATCTGTACTAACCTGCCTGAAACCCTCAGAATCGTCGAACACTCCAGTGGGCCGACGAAAAGCAGAAAGAGACACAGCACACACTGATCTAACCCGGCTTCTTGCACACTCCCGTTTTTACATATCGGAGCCTAGTCATGGTAAAGTGCTATACTAATCAATACACATGTGATCTGCAAGAATGGTACTGGTACAACACAGGTAGACAGACTACAATATTTATGTCCGGTCGGTGAAAGGGCACAGATAACACTATAATTTGCTCTATCAACAGGGGGCGCACCCAAAACTCCACGCGCAACCCTTTTAGGTGCCTCGGGAGCCTCAACAATATTGACTTCGGATCGTGGCGCTGCAGCAGCGACGACACATGCCCGACATAACCCTACAAAATGCACACACGGCGCAAAACGGTGGTTCGGTTGTTAGCCTGCGAACCACGCAAGTCAAGCCACACAGGGCGACCGGCCGCCACCGTCAGCGGTTTATCTGTCCGTGTCAAGCCACACTGGCGGCGGAGGGCCCGCGGTTCCATCCAAGTGATCGTGCCGGCCGGCCTCTTCGTCCACCATCCAGCTGACCAGCTCCTTTTGCCTCACGTCGTACTCACTCCTGCCGTCCTCCTTCATCCTCTCGTGCCGCAGTTCGTTCTCGCGGATGGCGAGGGCCCACAGCTGGCGGCGCTGGCTGCTCGCCTTTGTTATCGGCATCACGGAGATATCTCCAGGGGCGGCAGCAACCTCGCAAGGTCCCAATGGCGAATAGTCTACCGCTTTTGCCCTCTTGACGCGGTGCAGCAGCAGCGTTGCCCCCCACCTTTCCGCCACCTTCGTCCCGATGTCCCTGCCACTATAACCGACGTTCCGAACGGCGCTGTTCGAGTTGCTCCTGCTGGCCTTTTCTCGCTCCTCCTTGCCACTCACAAGGAGTGCCGTCGTATGCAAGTTTGCGCGCGTTACCACCGCGGCCGCTTCTGCCGCCGCGGCCGCTGCTGCCGCTCCGCTCAAGTTGCTCCTGGTGATTGCGGGGCTGCTCATCCCGTGGACGACGTCTAGCTCGCCTGCTTGCACCTTGGCATCCTGAAGCATCGTTGCAAGTAATGTCTTCAGTGCGGCCGCCTTCGTCTGGCGAGCCCTCCTCAGCTCGCTTGCGGTCATCCTAAGCTCTATTCGTGGCCCTCCTGGAAAGCTGGTCGGGCTGGAAAGGGTGAAGACGTCGTCGTTGCCGAGGGCGGCCGACCGGACTCCAAGCCCGCCCACTGGTGGTGCGGTTGCTACCGTTGGGGCCGTACCTCTCGTGATCGCAGGCGTCACTACGAGGTGGCTGATTGCAGGAGCGCCACCGTCGCCACCTTCACTGGCAGTATCCAAATCTACTTCCGCCGGCGGTGACGAGAGCATCGTACCTCCGGTAGCTGCTTCGGCCAACTCGGCCAGTTCTGCCAGCTCCGCCATTTCCGCCGCTGCCGCCGCCACTGCCCCTTCCCCGCTTGGTTCGTTTTCCTGCTGCTGCTGCTGCTGCTGCTGCTGCTGCTGCTGCTGCTGCTTCACTTGCTGCTGCTGCTGCTGCTGCTGCTGCTGTTGCTGCTGTTGCATCGCTTCCGTTTGAGTTTGAGACCCGCCTCCTTCGAGTAGAACGGGGCTACCACTATCCACAACCGTCAGTGGTACCACGTCAGTAGGCATGGCTGGGGCAGGAGGCGACTCGTCCAATTCAGAAACGCCAGGGCTTTGAGCTGTGCCGAGAATCGCATCAGCGCTTCGCCTAGCGCGCATGTCTTCGCCCCTCCTTCTTGTCCATACCCGGAAAACCTCTCCTGCAATGACGCGTTTGACGAGGTCTGGGGCGGCGAAGTTGGCCAGCACGGCGTCACAGCACGCCCTGAACCCACAATAGATCGACCCACGGTTTGGTTCGATGGCAGACAAGAGGGGGAGGGAGCAAGCGGCAGGTCTGCAAAATTGTCTTGAAGTGTCGATTGATTTGGCTCAGCACGATATGCAGCAGATAATGGCGATCAACGGTCAGTGGCCTGTGCCCCCGACTATATCTTCAAAGCCCCAAACGCGAAACGGTGCAATAGTATCCCCTGAAGAAGAAATAGATACCACAAGCTTCTTATTCGAAAGGACTCACACTGCTCAGGATAATATTGGAAACGGAGTGAGGACAACGCGGAACGACCCGCGAACTTCGCAAGATTTTTCTGTGCCCGGCAGAAGCAACCACTTGACCCCCTCCTTTCCGGACCCGAGCCAAGCGAACATCACGCAAAACTTGCACGAACGAAACGCCAGCATGCAGTTGCACACCCCTGAACCACGAGTTCACTCAACCATCTGCATCCCTTGTTCGCTACCCGACAGACAAAAACTTACCTCAGAGCCAAGAGATTTTTTCTTGTGATGTCCAACCCGTGTGCCACGACCAGCTCCGACGAAGGCACAATCTCCCCATCCACCATAAACCCCGTCAGGGGGACCTTTAACATATTCAAGGGCACACCATGTCTAGGGATCGGAACAATGGAAAACGACAATTTGACTGTACAGCTCACTCTCGAAACACGTGACGTGCTCACGAGATTGAACTTGTCAGTGATCACGATCTCTCTGGTTCGATTTTAGCTTACCTTGAGTCGTAGGGAGGGCCGGCACTGCTTCCCCTCCACGATTTGCACGTGGAGCGGCAGGTCGTATTCGACGGCGCCCTCGCCACCTTCTCCCCCCTCTTCCGTTGCCGCAGGAATCACCACCGCCTTCTTCTTCTTCTTCTTTCTTCGGTGCATCGACGTGGAATCAAGGTCCTTCGTCCTCGGCCGGCCGTTGTCATGGTCATCGACGAATCCGTCGTTCGCGAAGGCAGCAGCGCCACCAAACAACAACGAGAACTCAGCATTGGCACCCCCGGCAGGAGCTCTGCTTCCTCCTCCTTCTCCTCCTCCCGCGACACGTCTGCCGCCAGAACGAGGATCTGACGATGCCGGCTGCAGCGATTCAGGTGAGCGTGAAAATCCTGTCGCCCCCGGTTCCGGCCCTACAGTTTCCGCCCCGCCGGAGCCGTACACGTCTACGGATGGAGGCGCCGGCTCCAGCTTCCCCTCAAGTACTTTGGGGTCCGACTTCAGCGCTTCCAGCGCCATCTTGCACTGAAGAGGCCGATTGACGGCTCGGAGGTCGCCCGCTTTCACCCTTAACTCCATGTCGCTACCCGTGTAGGTCATGTGGATAACACGAGAGTCCGGTATCCATCTCCCCGCTGGTGTTGGCGACGGCGGCCCAGGTTGGTCGATATCAAAACCAAACAAGTGGCAGAACAGCACATTTAAGTTGAGAGGTACACCAAAGATACAGAATATAACAAAGCAGAGAAAAACACGCTGTCCGAATGAAAAAATCAACAGGTGAATTACTTTGAGCACTCAAAGCGCAGTCGCAGGGATATACTTCGCAGTGGGACGATATCGATCTGATTCCAGAGGCTGGGTCATCCTATCTACTCTGGAGTGCTCTACGTGCCTGGCCTCGCGAAGCTAACACTAGCAAGCGTGTTTGGGTAAGAATCGCCCAGGCCGATGTTCTCTCCAGAACCAGCTGGTGGACGAAATCGCTTATGCTAGCTAAGAACCACACACATACAAACGCGCAGTCCTGCGGGCTTTCTCAACGCCGATCAACTCAACTGCAAATAGCATCGCATGATACAACATGATTACCTCCATAGTGGCTGGATTCCTCAGCAAATGATGAGCCCTCTGGCGGTTTCACATGTTCCTCGTCGTAGCGGATCATGGCTTCCGCTGCGATGATTGTGTGAATCGAAGAGGGCATCTTCGATCGGTCTGTCGGAAGCAGCGTGTCCCGGAATGCCCTGCGTCGACCGGAGAAGATGATCGTTTTCGAGTGGCGAGCAACGCGGGGTGGCCTACGTGGATATCAAGTGAATAAAAATGAAGTGAAAACATTAACATTTCACACGAAGAGAGAGCTACAAGGATGCGTTCCGCGGGCACTCGGTGGTAGGTCAACAGAGAGTGTTGCAGGAAAGCAATGAGGGACACGTATCCACATCGCCATCTGCTACAAGGCGTCATGCTCGCCGTGTTTCCGACAAGTACAACGCACCAGCGCTGTTCCGGGCTGGAAGACACGGAATGCCACAAAGGAGAACGGCGAAGTGATTCCCATGGAAATGGCTCTTGCATAGAGCAAAACATGATGGTAGATACGGGGTAAAATAGATGCCCATTTGTCAGGGCCATTGATCTACGAAGGTTGGTGGGCACGTTCAGTACACGCATGTAAGAGATGATGTTTTTGATCGCACCGCCTGCCGAAGTTTGGCCAAGTCTCGTGAGGGATAAAGGAGAGCAACGAAAACCCTGTGCTAGGGTCCCAAATACGATGGATTCAAGAGGGGTCGCATATGTTACTTGTGAATGTCGCATTGGGGAGAGACGGGGGGGGCAACGGTGTGGTAGACGTGGGTGGTGTTGATGTTGCGGTTTCTCACGGTCACACGAGTAGTCTACTTGCGACCGAACCGTGTAGATCATGTACCATTGTATAGAAGTACAGAGGTCGGCTCAGAGGGTGGGGTGCCTTCTTTGCGATTGATCAGCACAAACATGCATGGACGACGCCCCGGACTGCCAATTTCAACCTTGCAAACGTGGTTCACATCCTCTTGCTTGCGAGCATTACGCACCTCAGGGCCAAGAGGTTCTCTCTCGTGAATCCCGGCAGTACACCGAAGTTGTAAGCCCTGTTCTTGAGAGTGCACTTCTCGTTGTCTATGCGAAACCCTCCCAACGTGATATCCAGCTTCACACCGCCGGCCTGCCTGTAGATATTGGTGGGGATCACGACCAACTCCCCGCTTTCCAGCCTCATCAGTCGCTTTCTCTTGGGGGCTGCCACTGGCTTTGTGGTTGCTGCGATCGGCAGCGTCGTGTGGGAGATGCCAGCAGCTGCGGCGGCGGCACTGAATACAGAGGCAGCTACGACGGTTGGAGTACCATTGCTGGCAGCCCCCTTGACTTCCCGCGATGAATAAGCACCTCCACTCAACGAAAGTAGTGGTGATTCTCGCGCCTCAGCCGGTGCTGGCAAAGGTCCGGCGGCTGCCGAAGCTTCAACTGCCGCAACGGCTGCTGCTGTAAGGGTTGCAATATCGGAAGGCCCCCGACTTGCACCTTGCCCCGCATCCATATCTCCGGAGAACGTGGAGAAAGAAGACGCAACACACGCCGACCGGGATGGGTAAGACACCGACCGTTGGTCGACGATAGGAAGGGGTGATGGCGTGCTGATGCGCTGTGAGGATATGAGAGGGACAACCACACAAGCAGAGGGGTAGACAGGCACTGCCTGAGCCCACGGAGAGAGAGCAGAGGAACGAAATGTCGGGGCACCAGTAGACTGGGACACGAAGGGCACGTGTATTGAACCGCATGTTATACACGCTGAGCCCCTTTGGCCGGTTGGCCTGCCCCGCCTGCTGCAGCAGCCCTGCCCTGCCACACCTCCTGTCCTTTGCTCTACTTCCCCTTTTCTTTTTCTTTCCCTCTATATACGACGAGGGCAGGGACCATGTCTCGTGCCTGGGCGGCCAGGGGGTCGGTGCTGCTGCGACGGGTACCCAGGTGAAGCCTTACCGCCGTAAACGGATCGAGGAGAGAAAGATATGGAGGATACACGACCAGATATCCAGAGAGGATTGCCCCGCCACAGCAGTATCGACTTGTCGTTGGTTCGTGAAAATGATGCAAAGTACCGTAGCATCACAGAAGGACTGCCCACTCTCGGGAATTAGTTTGGGTTGACGGCGGGATATACCTTTGCTTGTGTGAAGGGAAACACAATGCGGTGCCTCTCTGTTCGACCCATCTACAGCGGGGCGGTGGTCGATGTTGCAACAAATACCTCGCTAACACTACAGCAGTGTACATGATACACACCTGCATGTTAATGGTTCCACTCTGTTTGACCTAGGTGGTTGTCACCAGCTGCTTTGTTCATCATTTCGTTCGGTCTTCACCGCGAAACGCTTTTGGGCGGGTTTGTGTGGGACGATCGACCTGCGGTGGTGAGAGAAAGAAGCAGCTCCTAGTTTTCGCGTCATTTAGTCTATAACATTAGCCAAGTGTAGTCTTCTTGTGTATCCATTTCCTACCGGCACAGAGTGCCTACACCACACACAAACGTGTAAATAATGTCCCGGGTGCGCTTGTCGCCGTGCGTTGGCGGTACTACTTTACAATGCACCGTAGCTCTACACGATGTTGTACGAATGGTGCAATGTGGTACAGGATTAGACACATGTCTATGGTCTTGGTCACCACTAGACGCAAGACACACTCAAGAGAGCACAATTGACGTGCTTGAAATACAGTAGGCGTTCGTGTCTCGACATGTTCCACCAGTTTCACGGTTGTCACAACCACAAACGGCTGTTGGCTACACTACCCTTGGGCAACGAGGTTCACCTACATTTGAACATGTGCGTCGTACGATAATTTTGCTCTTCGTTCCTAACAAGGTGGGAAACCAGGACGTGTGGGCCGGATCATCATGGAGAGACATTTGGCGTCACGACTTCTGGGGTCAGCAGATAGCTCATGCTGAGAGCCATAAAAGTTTTCGGCCGCTTACCACCGTCACGTTCAAGTACGTGCTGATATGCGGTGATACCGCGTCACGTTCAAGCGGTGAAACGGTGATTTTCGTAAGCTTTTGCAAAGTTTCTCGGGCTTGAGCTCCGCTCACTGTAATTCATGTGTGTCTCGTCACGGTACAGTTGTTTGAAGCGGTCTGTTTTCGTTGGAAACCCTTGTGTCGTACGTGCGTGCCCTCACAGCCTTCCTCGGACAAAGCATCCCTGGTATCATAGGAAATAAAGCCCTCACTGTTTGCACACTACACACGGCTTCACCCGTGCTTTACTTCATCCACCTTTCGACAGAATATGTTGCTCGCAAGCCATGCCATGTGAGAGCTTCTGCTATGACGCAATGGTTGCTCAGTTGCCCATTTGTGTGTATGTCGTAGCGGTGAAAACGGGGATGCATGTTGCGACAACAATCCTAGATCTCTTCCCCTTCGGGAGGGCCACCATTACCCATCAAACACCGCACCTGTTTCACCTCCAGGTTGAATAACTTTCTTGCTCAAAAGATATCCCGAGAGCAACACGACAACACTATCGCTTTCGGCGATCAGCAGTCGAATGATGAAAACGTCATCTCGATGACAACGGCGGAGTTTGTGGAGAAGAAGGAAGGTTTCGCCAGAGGAGCCGGCCCAGAGGACACCGATGCGGCCGGCTTCCATCTGTTCAACGTCATCGTACACGCGGCTACCTGTTCTTCCTCGGTTTGGCTTTTCCGCACCATTTTTGAAGGCAAGATCAGTGATACTACCTAGTACTTGTTGAATGTTTCATGATTGAGGCATCCTGTTTTACATCTGGCCGAGCACTATCTTAGCCTCGCCTTTTCTCAAAAGAAAACACTCTTAGTCTTCGTAAACATGTTCATGAGAAAGGTATGCTTCCTGCCCTATGTGCCCTTGTGCCTGCCATCACCATCGCAGGGGAAGAATTGCCAGCGGTAGCGGCATCGTTCTTGTTCACCGTTCATCCGGTGCACGTCGAGGTAGGAACTGTAGCGTGTACCTTATGAATATGGTTGACGTCGGTTGGCGGGTTCCTCGGTCGGTGTATGATGCTCAGATTCCCGCATGCGGGAAAATACGATGAAGAGTTACGGTGGCAGCTGGTTCAGGTCAACGGGTAGAAAAAAACTTCCATTCTACTCGAGAACGTCGTTCACGCTCGAACTCTGCCCCACACATTGCGTATGATTCAACGTGCCAAACTGAAACAGGCGGTAGCCCCGATCGTCGGAAGGGCCGATCTTCTGTGCGGCTTCTTGACAGTGATAGCTTTGTCTTTGGCTATCAAGGGAAGTTCCTCCGGGAAACAAAGGCAAAACAAAAACATTGGGGATAAATCTCCCGGCCGAGGCGAATTGGCAGACGACCAAAAAGAGCAAAGCGGTTGCCACCCACCGTGCTCCTTCGGCAACGGCAGCAGCAGCAGCAGCAGCAGCAGCAGTGCGATGGAGATTGACGAGAGTTTTAGGGACCTTGGGTTGGCACCATCGAACCGCGATAGCGAACAGGAAGTCGCAAAACTCGAATTTAAACCGGGGGAGAGCGTTGTAGCCACAGCGGGGCAGTCTCGGCAAGATGAGGCCACCGAGGCACCGGCGAAAAAAGGGGTCCCACACACGGGGAGCCAAGGCATGACTACCTGGCTGCCGACGACTAGACCGTCGCCGACCTCCTCTGCAACCCCTGGAGGCGAGAAATCGATTGGGTCTACGACTGAAGAAGCAACGTATCTCACGGCGGCGTGCACGGATGTTGGAACGGCGGCGGACAACGGCACCCGTACGACAGTCGCGGTCGATACCAGTGACAACGAAGGAGAGAATTTTGTGACCCCGGCCTTACACTGCGAAAGTTCCGTCGACAAAGCACAAGCACCGGTGCAAAATGTGCTATCTGGCAACAACGATTTGTCCAGCCACGATGATACCCCCTTCGACGACGCCGGAGGCACTGTAGCTGCTGAAACATCCGTCGAAAACAGCAACGACGCTACGTCAGAAGCTAGGGGCAGTATTGTTACCATGGAAACGATGAAACCACCCGCAAAAGCTCTAGAAGCACCTCTTGGATACGTTTCCAGCAAAGAACACAACGATGACCGGGAGAAAGGGGCCAATGTTGTGCACCGGCGGGTATGGGCAATGGCAGGAAGAGCTTCTTGTCCCCCTTCCCCTGTGGGCTTCAAACCTGCTATGACCTCGAACATGGTTCCGGGGAAAGGAGCTCCCTCGATGCGTGATAGGGCTGCCATCGTCAACGAGGAGAAAGACAGCGGGCCCGGAGTGACGAGGTATTGTGCGGCGCTTCTTTTCGCCGTAGGTGCAACGTTGTGCAAAGAGGTAGGCATCACGGTGTTCGGGCTCATGGCTGGAGGGGAGGTTGTGCGCTTCTTCGAAGAGCGCGAGTGGCGGCAGCGAAAGCGGAAGCTGTGGCAACGTCGGCGATCGGGGGTCATACCAACAGTGGGGAAGCATGGGATTTGGCGGAAACAGGCGTTACGGGAATACTGGCGCTGTCGCTTCATTATGCGGGTACCGGCGGCTGCTGCGGCGAGAGTCGTGTCAGCGATAACCTTTGCCGTGTTGCTGGTGTATCTACACGTACGATTGCACGAGGGGGCGCGGGTTCGAGAGTGGGGGGTTCTAGAAAACGACATTTCAATTATGCCAAGGTGGGTGCGTTCGGGCGTCGCTTATGCCCCCCTTCACAACCTCTAATCGTTTTCGCCTACATAGTTTATGCAATCCCGCTGAGCTAGCCTCGATTGCCGCGTCATACGCCCTGTTGTTCGTCGCGAAATGTGAGCTGCATATTTTGACCCCACGGCCGCCGGTTATTGCGTCTGTAAATGCTACTGTCCTACATGACACAGTCGCACGGAGAGAGCGCTGTCGTACGCCTTTACGCACGCCGTGTACGCCTCAAAGCTCCTGTGGCCGACCCCCTTGTGCTACGACTGGGGTTTCAGGTGCGAGGAACTGCCCTGGAAAGAAGCGCCCCTCATGCTTCTATTAGGTACACACCACTTGAATCTACATAGTTCCTCATTCGTTTGGGGTCCTCACGGACATGCATGGTCTGCTATGCCACGGAATACTAGGAAGGTGGCGCACAGGCATGCTACTGCGAGAAGGGGGAAAAGTGGCAAGAAGATAGCCTGTGCGTTAAGACACAGAACCTCCTGCCCGGCCCGCTCTCGCGATTGATTGATCTGCCGGTCAAAGCATGTGTCACGTTGTGTTCTCATGCCTTACCCTGTTCCCTCCCCTGCCCCGTTGCCGCTGCTCGGTCGAACAACCAACCGAAACACCAGCTGTATCCCCCACGTCACGTCGTTGGCCGACTCGGCTAACCTCGCTTCGCTCGCGCTGTACTCTTCGATTCTGGCTGCTGTGGTCTACGCCGTGGCTCGCTGCGACACAGCAGTCATGTGGGGAATGGCCTTAATCGTGGTGCCTTTCTTACCGGCCTCGAATATTCTGTTCCCCGTCGGCGCAGTGGTTGCGGAGCGGGTACGTACGTGGGAACGAACCCGG